GCGGCCGTGCAGCAGGGCGAGCGCGCCCTGGAACGGCGGCGGAGGGCGCTGCAGGCCGAGGAGCGCGCCCTGGCCCAGGCGCGGCGGGAGCTGCAGGCCGAGCGCGAGGCGCTGCTGCGCGAAATGAGGTACCGCGAATGCGCTGTGGGCCTGACCTCAGCCCCGCTGCAGACTCCGCTCAAAGAGGAACTGGACGGAGGGAGGGATGACTATATCGTAACGAAGGTGCTCTTGTAGGTTTTGGTCAAAACCACCACTCCTTACCAGCATTACCCCTTACCTGCATCTAGCCTCACCTGAGAACAGAACCTCAAGCTCAGCTCTTTCGCTCTAGTCACCTATGGGGTTGTGAGCGCCATACCCCCCAACAGCCTCCTTTGATGATGGTGTCTAGTGGGTAAACTTGGAATGGGTGGAGTTAGTTGCAGCAGAGAAAACTCCTTTCTCAGTCTTTGAGACAATGAACTCCTGTAGCCCCAAGGAATCCGGATACCTCGGCCCCATGACAACAGAGTCCAGAACCTGGTACTTTTGAAGAACAAAAGCCTATTTATTTTACACACTAGACTTAACACACTATGTGGCTGCCTGTACACCAGGTGAACACAAGGTGGAGGGCACATGGCAGTGGGAATAAAGCTTGGGCCTTCATCCTTAAAACCACCCACAAAATGTGCTTATTTCCTAACACACAATCTGCAGGACCAAGTTTTGAAAAGGGACCATTAGTTTCTTTACCCTCATCATCTCTGATGCCTCATTTTCTCACTCCCTAAAGTGCAGACTCCTTTTGAAGACTCTCCCAGCTATTTCACCAAGCCATCTTTCCCATTTCAAACCCAATGGCATGCCTTGTACATTACCCCAGAGTTCCTGTCTTAGCAGCTCCTCCTATCCCCTTCCCAGCAAGAGGCCATCTCTACTAAGATCACCTTCTGGGGGCCAAACGAAAACTTACTCCTCCCATCCAAGGCCACTTCTTCCTTTCAGTGATTTCATCCTGTTCTTCCTCTACCGTTAATGGCCCTTTGCTCCGTTAGATAATTTCTCTCCTGTCTCCATTTTCATCATTTCTCTCCTTTGCAAAAGTTTCCATTGTATTGAAAAGACACTTGCAAGCCACATACTCCCAGCTGAATATCAGCTGTGAAGGTCAAGTAAGTAGTCTTTGCTGTTCTCACTTCTTACTCCTTTCACTTTCTCCATCACAGGTTTCCACTCTATCCTGGATTCGTAAGTAACAACCACAGTCTCATAATCATCAAGTAGGATTTCTTGTGATCCATTAATTTGCTTATTAATCTTTCCTTTCTAGAAAGAGTTGACTGCAACAAATGAAAACCCAAATGTCCCCTTTAACTAAATGGAATGTTTCCATGTTTACTTTTTCTTCCTTTCACCTCATGTGTACATGAATATACGTGTATTGGGGTTCTGTGTGACATATGACTCCCTTGAGGAGTGCTGTGACGATGACAGAGGTAAATCTATTCATTGTCCCAGTCAGCCACCCTCCAGCCCAGCCCAGTAACTAATACTGACACATAAAATGTACCTGTACCAGGTACATACTACACACTAACACACTGTCCCACTTTGTTCTTACAGTAGCTCTGTAAGGAAGAAATAATACTATGCCCATTTTATACCTAAGGGAACGGAGGAGGGGGAGGTATGTAGCTTGTACAGGAACACGGCTGGTAAGTAAAGCTGAGATCCAAGCCAAATGATCTACCCTTAGATACCACCCTCCTGGGCACTGCCTCCTGCTATCTCTGCTGCTTGTCAGTCACTGTACTTGACACCTGTTTCCTTTAGAACTCTGATTGCAGTTAGCACCATCAATAGCATTATACTTAGCACCACAGGGCCCGTGCTATACTAAATGCTCTACAATTATCACGTGCCACACAGCAACCCCATGTTACTGGGGCTGTTGCTCTTTGTAGATATAGAGATGGGTGCTTGGCATCTGAGTAACATCACAGCCACGGCTAAGAGGCAGAGGAGTTTGGAATCCCAATTGGACTGAATCCTAACTTCTTTTTCTAAATCTGTTTCTATAAATAGTGTACGTGAGGTGGATCTCCAGATCTTTGTCATCTTTCCTTTTAATCTAGGCAAAAGAATTGTCCTAAAGATCATCCACATTTAGGCTTTGTAGCCTAACACTGGGGTGTTCCCACCAGCAGCAGCACCTGGCACCAAAGAAGACTGCCTCCTGCAGCCATACTGGACTCCTGGTTCTTCTTAACACCTTGTCTTGACACCTCTGTATTCTTCACCTTCCCTCCACTTTGAACGCCACCTTCAATCTCTGCATGCCACAAACTCCAACAAAATTTTTTATTAAATTAATTCTTTTTCATTTCAATGAACATCTACAGAGATTTTGGAATTCCATTCATTCATGGTTGCACCCTTCTCCCCGCCCAAACCCCAACCCCCCACTCCGTTAGCTCCTCTCCTTGAAAAGCAAAAGAAAAACTCCCTCATTGGTACACAATCCCCCGCACCTCCCCAGACCCAGCAGCCTCACCCAAATATAATCCACTCTGCAACCCTCATTCCATACTCTTATGATAAACATAATGCCTTATAATACTTTTAAACTATTCTCTCCCCCATAGATAGCTTGAAAGCTTTGATTCCTCATGTAGCGGGAGTTCCTTACATCTCTGAACTCTGGTAGCACTTTGTGTCTCACAACTCTTAACATAACCTGATGGCTATTTGGGTTTCCGCCTCACCTGGCCAGACCCTGTGCTCCCTGCAGTCACGTGACACTCACTCATCCTAGCTCACCCAGTGCCTTGCCAAGTATCTGAGGCCTTGAAATGACTCATTATCTTTTAAGATTTTACAAGCTGGGTTTTCTATAATTATTAACATAATTCTTCATTTATTTTCATTCCAAGTAAATGAAAGTAAATTCATAACAGAAAAAACCCAGCCTAAAAGCAGCAATAATTTTTTTAAAGCTGTTTAGTCAATAAAGATTTAACAAGTGTCAGTTATGGGCTATTTGGGCTGAATCCAACTGACTACTTGAGCATGTCATTATCAAGAAAGTTACTTCTTTCCTTTTTTTGGTAAAACTTATGTTTTCATTGTACAAGTACCCAAATGGTATTGCCCTACTATAGAAAAAACAGGAGGGGGGAGAAATTTCCCAAGTCCTGCCACCTTTAACATTTTAATATATTTTTCTTTAGTCTTTTGCAATTTTTACATTATTTTAGACAGTAAAACTTTTTCTCCATCTTAGGTATGAAAAAAATTTTTTATTTTTCTATATGGGGTTTAGAAATTGTCTACAAGATCTAAATTTGAGTTTTTTAGATGAAAAAAGGAACTACGAATGTTCCTCTCTTATTTTACCACTTGTTAGCAGCACCAGAAAAAAGCACAGATTTACTTTTAGCATCTTAAGCACTTGCTCAGGGAAGATGGCTTATAAGAGCAAGACTAGCTAACAGTTGCTGTTGTGTGTACCATCAAATCAGAGCCAATTCATAGCTGACCCTCCAGCACGTTTTCAGGGGCAGTAAAGCATAGAGGAGATTGCCCATCCTTCCGGGGAGCAGCTGATAGATCCAAACTGTGTGCCTTTGGGATTGCAGCTCAGCATTTTACAAGTAGGCCACCAGAAAATAATTATCTTGAGGTTAACTGAGTTCCAATTGTTGGGGTGAAGGAAAGTAAAAAATTACTTTGTTTTATATACTTTTGAATTGTTAATTCTTTACAATAAAAGCATGAATTATTTTGAGAAATTAAAATTTTATTTTCTTGGTATTTAGATGTAATCCATATTAAAGGCTATAATCTTTGGTCTTCTGCAACAAGCACTTCAAGTTCTCCTCACTTAAGCAAGCAAGGTTGTATGTCATCTGTCTAATGTAGGTTAAGTCTTTCTCTGATCTTGATGGCACATTCTTAGGAGTCCAGTTTCTCCAATTATTTGCTCAGCATACATATCTCATGAGTATGGAGAAAGGATACAGCCCTGATGTACACCTTTCCTGACTTTAAACCAATTTTTTTTTTTTACAAATTTCTTTTTTTTTTCTATAATTATATTTTAT